GGGGGAGGGGGGAGGGGGGGGGCAACTTGCCCCGGGGTCTAACAACCCCTGGTCTCCCCTATGTACATGTAAGAGCACTAGCACGATATGCCGTGATATAACAAAAAGCTGTTTTTATATACAATTCCTGAAGAAAAGCCATATTCAGTGGGTACATATACAATATACCAGCATGTTCGATAAATATACGTGTCCTGTCGACCAGATGCATACAAATTGGGAAGATACTTCTTTCGAGCTTTTTCCAATCTCTTACGCGCCCATCCCTGCTGACAACGCTTAACCAGCTTTCATCTTGTTTGCTGGCGTCCATCCCAGAGTTTTTAAACGCAGTTGAGGAATATGATTTCTCTTGTTTTGTGAAAGCTGACAGAGAGACTGAAAATGGGTACATTCAAAGTATCACCCCTACCGCATCATCGGTAGAGAACATCTTTGGGGACAGGAACCAATCGTTTATATTTCAAGATAACGCTACACCACATAGGGCCAGGCCAGTGCAAGAGTGGCTTTACCAGCATGGCATCAACAGGGTGGACTGGCCTGCCCAATCACCAGACGCAAACCCTATTGAAAACCTGTGACAAGATATTGGAAATCAAGTGGCAAAGATTCGCCTTTTTGCCAGAAACTCCCTAATCCAAAGTGTCTNGGTGGTTTGCGAACTATTAACGCACCATACAGGCCGTCCGCGATCTGCGAGCCAATGTGGGAATGGTAGAAATGGGTCCCAGCTGGGCTGGCTTTAAACGTGTACCTGTATTAGAATAGACATATTATATATATAAATGTATACATTTATATTTAACAAATCAGTTCATCCTGGGTCAATCATCAATCAGAAAAACAAATTGGGTTTTTGAATTGCAGCCGCTGTCGCTGGACAGAAATTTATCACAAACTCACAAACAACAAACAAACGCAAGATACATGTACACAATGAAAACGGCTTAAATTCACTTCTTTTTAGAATATTGGCCAAAAGGCAATAATCATCCTTTGATTATGTATGTGTCTAACATCCCCGTAACGTACCTGAATGTTGTGAACTGTGGAATGGGGCACTGTGTTATCATACTGACTCCGTCCATGTACGGTGTCCCCATCTGGTGGATGCCGTGCCAATGTATCACTGTACTTTCACCGTCCTCAAGTTCATTCTTTACATTCACCACCAAGGTATCACCCTCACAAACCTGGATGACAATCACATATCTTTTGATTTATTTACAATAAACACATCATAAAGCCAATGTACTGCCAGGTCCCTAAATATTATCAAAGGTATATATACATTTGAGGAATTAATCCTACGTCCTCTTTCGTATGAAACGATGGACACGCATCTGCCGTTTAAAACTGCAAAATACATGTACTCCGTCTCACCTCTATCATCGGCCCTGGTATCTGTCTATTGACCGCAATGACAGCTCGCATATGTCCATCAGCAGCTATACAATGGGGGCGGTGGCAGTCAGGTTAAATGGACAGTCGTAGCAAGCCTAGAATGTATCATAACGTATGGAAGGTACAAGACTGAGAAATTTTATAAGCAATGAATAGTACATCGTTGACATTGGTTCACATTTTTCTTATTGCCTTAACCTTACCCCTTTTTTTCAAAAGGGGTTTTAACCCCTGTCTGTGTGTCTTTCTGTCTGTTTGTCATCAACATAACTCAAAAACATATGGACCGATTTTAATAAAATTTTCAGGGTAGGTCAGAAATGGGTTAACTTAGAAGTGATTAATATTTGGTGGTGATCCGGATCAATAATCAATCAATAATCAATAATCAAAAATCAATCATCAACACAACTCAAAAAGTAATGAATCGATTTTTATGAAATTTTCAGGGTAGGTCAGAAATGGGTTAACTAAGAAGTGATTAGTTTTTGGTGGTAATCCAGATCAATAATCAATCAATAATCAATAATCAAAAACCAATCATCAACATAACTCAAAAAGTTATGGACCGATTTTAATGAAATTTTCGGGGTAGGTCAGAAATGGGTTAACTTAGAAGTGATTAGTTTTTGGTGGTGATCTGGATCAATAATCAATCAATAATCAATAATAATAAAAAATTGCTGCCTTGGCGGAGTGCTTTTCTAGTTTCTCTTTTTCTTAATCTTTACCTTGGATAGTGTAAGATACCAATCGACGGTAAAGTTGTACTCACACATCTTGTGGACATTTCGCTGACAAACTCTAGCACACTCGTGGCCGTCTATAAATACATGTATTAGAAAATACGTAAGCTCGAGGAAGGTTAACAACTCGTGGAAGAGGCAAAGATAAGGCTTATGAAATGGGCGTCAGATTTTCCTAATAAGAGAATTGGCAAAACGTACAGAAGAAGGTCCTAAAAATAAAACTTTGAACAATATTTAAATT